GAGAACAGTGTACATCAACAGCACACACAAAATCAAGTGTTCTTTTGTTTACTGAATAGTTTAGGTCCAAGATATTTATCAAAACTCCTGACCCAGCACGAACCTCGCAGACCTCTCAGGTCGACATGTTCTGGATTCTGGAGTCAAAACTAAGCGGGCAGAAGCTGCCTTTAGTTTCTATGCTGCTCAAATGTGGAACAAACTGCCAGAAGAACTAAGACAAATTCATTTGATAGTTGTTTTTATTGTTTTTATTCTCTGTGCTTTTGATTATTTTTACTGTTTTTATCATTTGTTTCTTTGTTTTGTTTGTGCTTTTGCTGGTGAACTCTGCACTTTGGGTTGTCTTGTGTTTTATATGTGCTATATAAATAAATTTGCCTTGGCGGCTGTTCTGAGTGTACTTCATTTTGTCATCTAGCATAAACACCCTGGAATTATGCCGCATTCACATTATGTTTTTGAACTGTATTTAGGAGCGGATGAGTCAGTCAGTCTAGATTTAAAACTCCAAGCTGGTATCTCTTGACAAAAAGAACAGAAGTCTCAGTGTCTGTGAAGACTGTTCGCTGGCAGTTACAGCTAAACAAAATCCTTCCTGTTCTCTCAACACAGAGCGAACGCAACCTTAGTATGTAGTATAGATTCACGAGAGCCTTTACCTCTTCTTCCAACCAGTCGTTATACTGGACAATGCTCGCCATGGCAACATCAGCACCTTTCATGTAGAAAGTGATGTCTCCTGTTGTTTCCTCCTAAAATCAAGTTACAAATGACAATTAGAACAATTTCTATGTTCAACAGCAGAAAAATATTTCTACACCAATTGTCATGCAGCCAGTTCAGTTCAAAAGATACAAGAGGGCACAAAACATAATATTAGGTTCGACACAAAAGTTCTATTAAAGCATTTTAGGTAAAAACTCAAATCTGAACAATATGTAAATCCTGTAAATTAAGGACACACAAACACTGAAACACATGATTCGGCAACCAAAACAGCACACAGGAAGCAGCATCCACACATCATATTGTTAATACACAAGTTCCACACCCTGACGATGATGCCCATCCTTTTGCTCTCGGAGGTGAAGGGGAAGATCTGCAGGATGTAGAAGGAGAGAATCTGTCCAGAAGGAGTCTTCAGCTGCAGGGAGGTCAGGTCTCTGTTCACCAGGGTCAGGCCGACGCTCTCTGTCCACCGCACCAGCTCCACCTGAGGAAAACATATGAAAACAAATTGCTCACAGAAGTGCAGAAGAACACAAACTTTAACATTTTGATTCCTACACAATGAAATGTATGCTCCAGCTTTAAGGGTGATGATATATTTTTTTACAATGACTGGATTGATGAGGAACACTTAAATTATAAAAATAAAGTCTCCTATAACACAAGGGTATAAGGATGGAGGTATAATGCATTAAATCCAGTATTCTGGACTTTGACAAGAAATGTGGGAGGATTTTCATAGAAACATTTGTGAATATTAAGGGAAAACTAATTTAATGTAAGGATTTTTAATCTTAACTACATTAAAAAAAGGTTAACAGAGAGAATGACTTTGTGTACAAAAGAAAATCCAAAACAAATGTAGACCATGAGCTGATCGGATTTACTTTCACTTGCAGTTGAGAGACAAGGCATGAGAGAGTTACGGTATCTCCAGAGCTGCTGAGCTCTTCACATTCAGCTCCAGATAAGTGTTTTTCTGTTTCTCTTTCCTCTTTTTCTCCTCAGCAGGAACTGCGGCCCCCGAGTGAGCGTTCAGCTGCACACGACTCAATTCTCAATGGGTTCATTTTCAATTTGCTCACTCAAAGGTTGTTATTATACTCTGACCTACAAATTGGAACTTCCTGTTAATACCCCATCATTTCTCCTGCTCCCCCTTTGAGCTCCGTAAAAAAGGACTGCCTATATTTACTTAACACACATCTGTGTGTCATTATGCTGGTGTGTGTGTGTGTGTGTGTGCGCGCTACACACACAAATGGACACATACACCATGTGCTGAGGATCCTAACTCAGCTCTTCAATCTACTTTATCAGCTCTACAGAAACTATTTAAACCTTTGTCAGCTTTGATACAAACTGCGTGTGAATCATGTGTTACGACAGTAATAGAAAAGAGCACTTTATGGACAGTGGCAGACTGGCTTAAACAACCCGATCAATCATTTCAACCGTGTTCACAATGTTCCAGTGATCATGTAAATCACAACGGCAGCACTGCCTTTAAAATTAACAGCAGGTAAAGCATGTTGATGAAAATGGACCCGTAACAGTTACATTCTTCTCCTGTAATGTCACTGGCAATGTGAAGGGCGCACACTCAAGAACTGAATTTATTTTGGGATAGTTTAACAGTTTTACTAGGAATTTTGAAGGAGTACTACTACACATCTCTATTTATAATGTTGGAAAATATTAATGCCATGTATTTATTTTAATTCTTTTTTTACATTGTTCATTCTTGCAGTTTGTTGCTGTGCAGGAGCTCGAACTGATGTTCTTCATTATAAACAGAAAGACAATTAGACAATAAGAGAACAATCCTGCTACAACATTTTAATTCTCTCTCAAAACCTTTCTAATAGCTTTTACTGTGGATTGTGGTTTTATGTTATTTCTCCCAATGGGTTTATTTAATGGGCATTAATTGCCTCCGTTCTATAATCAATGCTGGTTATTTAGGATGGAATCACTGTAATTCAATGCTTTTATAGGCTTTTTAGGCTTTACCTTTTTGTTACATCTGGTTATGTTTATAAAGGAGAACATTATTCCTTCTATTATAATCATCTATGCTAGAATATATTACTTTGAAAATGCTTGAAAACAACAATACTGATTTTATTTTGATTTTGATTTATTAGTTATTAAGTTTATCTACTTCTCAGTGAAATTAATTTTATGTCCGAGTGTGTACATGTTATTATATTATACCTTTATAATATTATTGATATCAAGCTTTTATTACTGAAATACAGTATGGGGTCTAACTGAACCCTTATCACTTCAAATAGATCTGCTGATATCTGGCTGCTCAGCTTCTAAAAAGTAGCTGCTTGGCCTGAAGAAATTACACTTTATTTGCATACTTAAGATACTGTCTTCCTCCCTTATGGCACATATACTCACTGAGACTGGCTGTTACATCCAATTGAAAATGATAAAGCACCCACTTTCCTGGGCATGGCCGTCATTAAAGACTATAGTCAAATGCGCTTGTCTGATATTACAAGGGTCAAAGGTTACAGGAGGACTCTGTTCACAGCGTGGCTGACCACCAGGTCAGATGACCCCTGTTCTGACCTCGGCGGTCGGCCCACTTCATCTCCTTAATGACGGCTCGTTACATTAGAGGCTGAGCAGAGAGCCGGGGCCAAACAAACTATCACCAACTGAGGTACGGTGGCCAAGATCTGATGCTGCAGTCAATGAGAGTGAGGAGGCAGGAAGAGAGGAAGAGAGGGAGAGGGAAAGAGGGAGGGAAATAAAAGGACAGAGAAAGAACAAAGAATAGTAGGAGGGAAAGGGAAAGCTCGACCAACAATCACAGACCTCCACCTCTCATCGTCTCTGAGAGAAAATTAAATATTGATCAATCTAAGCAGTGTGAGACAATGGAGAGAGGGGAGATAGAGCAGAGTGAGACGGGATATAAATAAATATATACACATCAACTCAGGGGGGAGGACAGACAGACAAAATGGAAAATTTATCTTTCGCCACCTTTTTATCTTCATTTTGACTGCTAGACTTGGCTGTGGGTTCGACACAAGGTATGCAAGTCTCACAAAGGCTTTACGAAGTCTCACACGTCATGGGTGATAAACATGCCAACAGTGTTGAACTGGGTGTGTATGTGAAGATTAACTACCCTTCAATATACATTAAATACACCTCTATAAACAAATATTGACATTAACTTTTTCTGATCAAAAATCTTCCTCTGCGTTTCCAGTATTCAATTATCATTATCAGTGACAGATTCTGTAGGATGATTAAAAATAATATACAATAGGCCTAGCAGCACCAACAGTCGTAAAATCTCAAACACTTGGGTTACACGGAGAAACAGCGAGAGGAGAGGAAGCTATAGGGATGCCTTTGGGGATCGTTTGTCTGCTGCATTCTTCCTTCAGTTGGAGCAGTAAATTCTCAGGAAGCAAATACAGACGATTTAATAGCTTAACCTCTACGAGGAGTTCGTGACCTCTGACTTTCTGATCATGAAATGACTGTTATACCAAACCAGGGTTATTTAGGATCACCAATAAAACATAAAGACAGAGGAAACCGTAGAGAGGGGCACAGAGAGGTTTGCTCCTGGTAATCTCCCACATTTATTCTCGCCAGAAGGACAAGC